CTCGCCAGCCGTCTGCCCTGGTCGGGTTCCTGGGAGGTTCATCTTCATGGACTACAGCAGTGGGCTGCCTTGACCACTGCCTCCTCCTTGGGTTTGGCCAGTAGAAGGCACTGGCTGAGACCAGGAGGTAGAAAAATGAACTTGGGGTGTTTGTTCACCCTCCCCTGCTCTGCTGGGCGCTGTGGGTTAGCTCCTTCCCTCTACCAAAGCCTCAGCTCAGCCTGGCAGCCCCTACCTGTTAACCAATCCTTTTCCAGTTAGTAGTAGCACAGAGTGGCAGCTCTGGTTGTTACTCTTTGAAAATCAATGTCATTGCCGGCGCCGCGGCTCACTAGGCTAATCCTCCGCCTTGTGGCGCCGGCACACCAGGTTCTAGTACCGGTCGGGGCGCCGGATTCTGTCCTGGTTGCCCCTCTTCCAGGCCAGCTCTCTGCTGTGGCCCAGGAGTGCAGTGGAGGATGGCCCAAGTGCTTGGGCCCTGCACCCCATGGGAGACCAGGAAAAGCACCTGGCTCCTGGCTCCTGCCATCGGATCAGCGCGGTGCGCCGGCCACAGCGCGCCGGCCGCGGCGGCCATTGGAGGGTGAACCAACGGCAAAGGAAGACCTTTCTCTCTGTCTCTCTCTCTCACTGTCCACTCTGCCTGTCAAAAAATAAAAAGAAAAAAAAAAAAAGAAAATCAATGTCATTGAGAGCTGAAAACTGTCTGGATGAAAAAACCCTAGAAAATAACATTTTCAAAGCTCTGCAATTGTCTTTATTTTTAAAAGCATTACAATTAATTTATAACCCCACTGTCATCTTGGCAAACGTTAACTGCATTTACCTAAAAATATTTTCTAATTTCCCTTGTGATTTCTTCCTTGGTTTGTTGATTCTTCAGTAGTATGTAGCTAGATGTTCTCTTTTTTTTGAAATTACTCGAATTTCCTCCTGTAATGGATTTCTAATTTCATTGCATTGTGGTCAGAAAACAGACTTCTAAGGTTTCAGTCCTTTAAACGTATCAAGGTTTGTTTTATGGCCCAATCCATGGTTTTTCCTGGAGAATTTCCCATGTCCTCTTTAGAAGCACATGGAAAATGTTCATTCGTTCATATGTTTATATGAGTAACATGGAATTGGTATAAATCTTCATTAAGCATCTTGAAAGAGACAAGATCATAGCCATTCATATTTCATGTTCATCCACATGTTCTCCTCTTGGCTCCAGTGTTCACTAGAGGTGTGTTGTACTGTAGCTTTGTTTAAGTCTTCTGTTTCCTCGGCCATTTGTCTAGTTGTTTTATCCATGATTGAAAGTGTGGTTTGAAGTCCCCAGTTATTATTGTTGAATGGTCTATTTTTTCATTCATAGCTCTTTACTTTGCTTCATATATTTTGGGGCTCTGTTGTTGGTGCCTATATGTTTAAAATTGTTTTTAATAGATTGCTGTAAACTTTTTAAAGAAAGATTTATTCATTTATTTACTTGACAGAGAGAGAGAGAGAGAGAGAGAGAGAGAGATCTTCCAACTGCTGTTTTACTCCCTAAATGGTCACAATGGCCAGGACTTCTTCAGGGTCTCCCACGTGGGAGCAGGGGTTCAAGCACTTGAGCCATATTTCACTGTTTTCCCAGGCGCATTAGCAGGGAGCTGGATGGGAAGTGCAGCAGCTAAGACTTGAACTGGCACCCATATGGGATGCCAGCATTGCAGACAGCGGCTTTACCTACTATGCCACAGCCATGACCCCTGCTGTAAACTTTTGCCTGGTTTCTGGAGTTCTGAAAAAGTCGGCTTTTTGACGACTTCTGAGTGTGTCTTGTTGCTTTTATGGAGAAGTGGCTTTTTGGAGATCCTTATTCTTCTATTCTTGCTGATGTCTCTCTGCAGTTTTTTCAGAAGAGAAAGTTACTGAGATTTTTTTTCAAGGAGTGATTTAAGTTTATGTTGTGTTTTTGGAAATATTTTTCTAGACCATCACTTTTACAGAAAATCTGAAAACAATTAGCAATCAGTAGGCTAAAAATCTTAGACGTAATTAATAGCTACTAAACTGGCCATTTTATATGAACATGGGAAGTGTGTTGGAGTCTGAAGAACAAATTCAATGCGCAAGCATCATTTTAATACCAGTGGAAGAGTCCATTTGAGGCATCTCTTTTGCTGTTGGCCACCTTGGCCATCTTTGCACTTTGGGTGCTGTTCATCTTCAGTTCTTTGGACCCATCTCACAGAATGTAGATGCCAAGAGTGAGAGAAGTCGAAACGTGATTGTTTATGATCTTGTCCTTTGGAAGATATTTGAAGATTTATATCTATTTTGTATTATTCATATAAACATTCTGTTTAAGTAGAAGTTCCCTGCAGGGTTACTATGAGCCCCCCACACCCCACACCAGGACCACTTATTTATGGTCAAGGGGAGTTATGTGCTTACAGAGACTAATTACACACCAAACAAACGAACCTGTTCGCACACATGGAATTCAAGGTGCTGCCAATGAAACTAAGGAAGGCTAGAAACTGTTGGTGCCTTTGCCAAAGAAATGTTCCTGTCTCCCCAAATAACCAGTAGGTGTTCAGATTTGCTTTTGAAGCGTTGGCTAAAAGGCCAAAAGCACCAGAAATTTCCTTCGTACTTTTTGTCTTTCCCAGGAGGATCTTGCCATGTTTTTGTCGTATCATACTCGCCGTTGTGTGGGGACGCGTTCTGAGAAACAAGCAGTTTTGTCCTTGTGTGGGTCTCGCAGAGGGCACTCACACCAACCTGGGTGACATTGGCCAGTCGCTCAGCGGGGCCTCTTGATACACCCAAGGGACGCGGTAACGCACACTGAGGCTGCCGCAGGACCTTATAGGATCCTGTTTCACAGTAGGAGGATTACACTCCAAGGTCACCATAAAAGATGTGGAATAGTCCACACAAAACCAGTAACATGGTCCTTCATCGTCCTTATCGCGCTCAGTGGGTTTGTTTACACCAGCACCACTGCACACCTGCGGAGAATGCATCCCATCTCGCTATCACGACGGCTACAATGTCACAAGTGATAGAAAGTTCTCAGCTCCACTAGAACCTTACGGGACTACGCATTATATGCATCCCCATAAATGGACCGTAATATTGTTAGGCGGCACCTGGGCTGGGTTGGAGTTGCCTGTTATTTTCTCTCTTGGGTTGTAAGTTTCACTAGTGTGGTCTGTGCCAGCCATCTGTCTTCCTCTAAGGACAGCAAGCGCAACATCTTGCACCACGTTAGTATCAAAAAATTGGTTTTTGCATTCAGGAAATGGATCACTAAAATCATAAGGGCTTATGGGTAAAACAGGGTTGGGGCAGACCGCTCAAGACCTTTGGGACTTGACACCAGTAATGACAAACCTGAGTGAAACAGACATGTTGCATTCCTATAAGGAAAGAAATTCTATAGAGTTCTTGATCTTTGAAAGGTGATGCTATGAACTTCCTTCTTTCCTTTTTTTGTCTTTCAAGAATTATTTATTTATTTGAAAGAGTTACAGAGAGAGAGGGAGACACAGAGAGAAATCTTTCATCTATTGATTCATTCCCCAAAATGGCCACAACCACTGGGGGCTGGGCCAGGCCAAAGCCAGGAGCTTCATCGGGTCTCCCATGGTGGGTGCAAGGACCCAAGCACTTGGACCATTTTCTGGTACTTTCCCAGGTACGTTAGCAGGGAGCTGGATTGGAAATGGAGCAGCCGGGACTTGAACTGGTACCCATATAAGACACTGGCATTGCAGGAGGCAGCTTTACCCACAATGCCACACCGCCAGGCCCGCTTCCTTTCTCTTCTATTCACTGTGATAAATGAAATTTTCTTTTATCCACACTGAATGTTTTTGTCTCCCCGCCCCTCTGTTTGTATATTGAGATATAATCCCCAGTGTGATGGCATTAGGAGGTGGGGTCATTGGGAGGTCATTTAGTCACTGGGGTGGAGCCCTCATGAGTGGGATTTGTGCCCTCCTTATGAAGGGTCTCTGATGAGCTCAGTTGCTGTCTCTGCTACTACGTGAGGACGCAACGTGGAAGAGAGCCCTTGCGGGAGCCCGATCCCGCCGGCACCCCATCTCACATTTCCACCCTTCAGATCTGCGAGCAATAAATTTGTGCTGTTTACAGCGTTTTGGTCTAGTGGCCAGTGCTGAGACTCCACGTTTTTGTTGAGGTTGCTTCCCTTAGCCAATCAAGCTCCACACAGGGCTTTTAGTCCCTCCCTCTTCACGTTGTCCAAGGCCTCAGCAGCCTTCTCCACCTGGAAATTGAAATCCCAGGCCCTCGGCTATTTGGACCGGCAGCCACCTCCTAGCACCTTCAGTGTTAGCACACGTGCCAGCCACTGGGGTTTCTTCTTTGTATAGTGTGAATGCAACAATAAGTTTTAAAGATTTTTTTTAAAACAACCCTGTAATTTAGCCAGCATATCAGGGAGTTTATGGAGGGAGATTTGGGATGTTTTCTCCTATCTAAAGCTGCCATTCTGCTGGGAGAGTCACCCACCCCCATGGTTGTTTTTAAATTCTTTTAAAAGATGCTTTTATTTATTTATTGGAAAGGCAGAGAAAGAGAGACAGACAGACACATAGAAATCTTTCATCTACTGCTTCATTCTCCAAATGCTCACAACAGCCAGGGCTGGGCCAGACGGAAGCCAGTAGCTGGGAACTCAATTGGTATCTCCCACGTAGGTGTCAAGGACCCAAGCAGATGAACCATCACCTGCTGCCTCCCAAAGGTGCACATTGGCAGGAAGCTGGAATCAGAAGTGGAGCCAGGACTTGAACCAGCAACTCTGATATGGGAGGCGGGTGCCCCAAGATTTTTGTTAAGAGATCATCATTATTGGAATAATATGAGGGATCTTCTAAAAGTTCCCAAAACATGCACAGTATGAAACAACTGCACATGGATTTTAAAATAATTTTACACAAAAATAAAACTTATCTTTTTTTAAAAAAGATTGTTTATTTGAAAGGCTGAGTTACAGACAGAAAGAGAGGGAGAGAGAGAAATTTTCCATCCACTGGTTCACTCCCCACATGGCTGCAATAGTCGGGCTGGGCTAGGCCAAACCAGGAGCCAGGAGCGTCTTCCAGTTCTCTCACGTGGGTAGCAGGGGCCCAAGCACTTGGGACATCTTCCACTGCTTTCCTAGACCAATAGCAGAGAGCTGGATCCGAAGAGGAGCAGCTGGGACGTGAACTGGCGCCCATATCTGATGCCGGTGCTGCAGGAGGAAGCTTAACCTGCTACGCCATGGTGCTGGCCCTAAACTTATCTTTCAATTCCATTTTCCCAGTAATGTTTTGAAGCCATCTTGTATGAGCATTAGGTTCATGATTCTGAGCAGGTCACAGTTCCTGGAGAAGAGAAGGGGCGGGAGAGAGAGTCAGTAAGATGAGGAATTCTGTGACAATGGATGAAGAGGTAAGTGCCAGTTCTCTAGGGTCCAACAGCTTTCTGGCACCTTCTCTGACATATAGTCCGGACAGCGGGAGTTGAATGATTGTTTTAGGACTAATTAGTCAACATGGGAATTACTACATCTTTTGCCTTCATCCCCTCTTTATTTATTAGCATCTCTTCAGTTGGCTGGGGCACAGAAAAAGGTGTCACCGAGAACACTTAGCACAACGATTTAGGGACAATCGTCGACATCTCCAGCAGAACCGGGCTTGGACAGATGTGGGAACAAGGGGCTGAAGTAAGAGCTGAGTCTTTAACCCCTCTGCCCTGGCCTCTTAGCCTGTTCATGCGAACTTGACAACCACATCCGAAACCTCCTGCAGGGATCGTGCTGTGACTAGAGAGAATTTAAAAGTCTTGCCTGCTGAACTCTGGAGTTTTTCCGAGAGTCCTCAGAAAAATTCTTCGAGAAATAATAGATCTGTTTACTTATCCAAGAAATATTCACTCACTGTTGGCCAGATGTTTGGCTCTGGGTTGGGGATGGTCTTCGGGGAGATGGAGCTGCCAAGTTTCTGGCCCTCACTCCTTTAATCAGAGAAGGTCTCCTTGTGTCTGCTTCCTGGTTGATGTTCTGGGTAAGGGGAGTTCTACTTCAGTCTCTGTGGCATGAGGGAGGCCTTCGTACAAAAGAAAGTAAAGCTATTTGGGGGTCCTGACCTGTTGGTTGATGTGTAAATGAAGTCTGTATCAGCATAATGATGAGCACATATGGTTACATGTGTTATTCAGGGTAGGCTGTTTTTTATTTTATTTTATTTTTTTAATTTAATAAATGTGAATTTACAAAGTGCAACTTTTGCATTGTTGTGGCTCCCCCCCTCAACCTCCCTCCCTCCTGCGGCCCTCCCCTCTCCCACTCCCTCTCCCATCCCGCCCTTCATCGAGTTTCATTTTCAATAACCTTCATATACAGAAGATCAACTTAGTATACACTAAGCAAGGATTTCAACAGGCTGCACTCACACAACCGCACAAGGTATAGGGCATTGTTCGACTAGTAGTGTTGTTTTTAAGTTTCATAGTAAAACACATTAAGGATAGAGATCCTACATGGGGAGCCTGTATCCAGTGACTCCCGTTGTTGATTTAACAATTGGCACTCTTATTTATGACATCAGCAATCAATAGGGTAGGCTATATTAAGTTACTGTAAAAAAATGACCCCTGGATCTCAGGGACACAGAGTGTAAAAGTCACTTCTGTTGCCATTGCGACAATATAGGAGGCGGGGTTTTATAGGACATGATGAGGTTTCAGGGCTCGGCTTCATGAACAGATCAGCATTGTTACGGCGGAAGTGGTTCAGCTGCAGTGAGTGTAGTTTGTTGTTAAGGCAAGTCTGGTCCCTCTTACTCTTCTCCTTTGCAGCTCACTTGCTCTTTCACCCATCTGCTCACAGGCCCTCATCAGCTGTGGCCCCTTCAGCCACTTGCTCCTTCAATCTTGGACTTTCCAGCCTCTAGCACCATGGACCAGATGCATTTCTGGTCTTCTGAAATTACCCAGGCTGTGATATTCTGTTAGACGAAGACACGCGTGTGAAACGCCCACTGTGCCTTTTCTGTGGCTCCACTTCATGTGATGTTCCTGCTCTGGGACTCGGGATGATGGAGCAGCCTCTACCTGGCACACGGCCAGGCTGTGGCAGGGGGTGAAAGAATGTGTGAACTTCACATTGGCTCCAACAGTCTCTGCCTGGAAGTCACACATGTCACCGCTGTTAACTTCTCATTGGCTAAACAAGTTCAATGCTTTCACCGGATGTCTTTGGCCCAGGGAAATGTAATCTTTCCATAGAGAAGGCAGAAAATATTTGGGGACAATAATGCAAAGTGCTGTGATACCCAATAAACGCTTGTTGATCAAACAACGTTATGCAATGATTAATCATAGACTAATGCATTTTCAGAGCCCAACCACATAAACCAGTCTCTCTCTGAGCAGAAGTTTATGATTGCATGCTTTTTGTGTTCCAGGAGAGCTGAAATGAGCTAAAGCAATCCCAGGATTTTCATTGCAACAAGTCACAACTCCCCATCAAGACACCCACCCCTCAAGACACCCACCGCTGAGGAAGAAAACCACAACTTCATTCTCCAATCCCACATCCATTCTGCCCTTTTGACATGTTTTGTAAAATGTTCCAAGGAAAAAGGTCTGGAACTTCTAAGGATTAAGGAGAAATCTACATCAGCAAAAAGCTGGGCTGCAAACCCCCCAGGAGTTGAAGAGCTCAGTTGCAGAGCCAGATTGTATAAAGCAGGGCTTAAGAAGTAATCTGTAGCCATTCTATGTTAAACAAATTGTCTGCCAACAGGAAGCCTCCGGGGTGGGGTGGGGGTGGTGGGGGTGCTGGTGGTGGTGATGCAGAGTTTGAAGGAATGAAATGGATTCCAGACTACCAGGAGGATTTTCTTGATTGAAACAAGACCAATTTATCAAATCAAGCTCCATGTGAGTGCACAGTTCCCACCTTTTCTGCAAAAACACAAAAGAAAGTGTATAGTATTTTTGAAGTAGTGGATTTCATAGAGGGAACATGCTTCTCTGTGAAAAAAAAAAAAAAAAAAGGAAAAAAAAGATACACAGTGGGAAGCTTTGGGCTTTGGTTGGGCCCTGCAGAATAAGTGACAAAAACTCAACTCAAAGGAGCCTTAGAAGAGAAAGGAATAACACGGGTTCTCAAAGCTGAAAAGTCCAAAGGTAAATTTTGGCTTCAAGGATGGCTGGATCCAGGAGCTCATGTGCTATTACCTGGACTCTCTCTCTTTGTCTCTCTTGCTGCTTGTTCTTGTTTTGTGTGTCTAGAGTCTGCCTCGCACCCATCCAGCTTTTGCTCATCAAGACCTTGCCCATGGCATAGCATACCTGCCTTGGCCAAGCGTCTACCTATCTTGGGAGCTACCTGCAACAGAACGAAGTCTTTAGCCTGCTGCTGGCCTGTCAGTTCTTCCTTTGCAGCCGATAGAGTCTCTTCATGAATGCCCACCCAGGGCCAAGCGCTGCTGGTTGTCAGCCATCAGTCAGTCCCTCGTCTTTCTGCAGGGTGCCAACCTCACTTGGCATCACTCAGCTAGCACCTCTTTGCGGGCTTTGTCCCCCTCTCCCCAGCCCTTGATTTTCCTAATGTCCACATCATTTCATGTGTGATAGCATTCCCTCCCAATGGACATTTCCCCAGGTTGCCACTGGTGGACTGTTTAGCAACTGAACCATTTCTGGTGTCAGGGTGAGCTACGCCCTACCTCCCAACCCGGACACCATCCTCTTTGCCAGTCAGGCAGGAGCCGTGCAGTGTGAAGCGGTAACCAGGCAGGTCAGGCAGACTCACGGCTCCTGCCTGACTGGCCTGGTTACCACTTCACACTTTCAGATGCTCTCGTTAGCATTGCTAGAAATGGGAGTAAGCGTGTGAGGATTTCATTAAGGCTCCAGCTTGTGAGAAAATGGGGCGGGGACCATGAGACAGCGGGCAAGCTGTTGAATCCTGAGAGAAGAAGGGAGGGGAGGCTGAGGATGCTAAGCAGTTTAAAGAAGTTTGGGCAAGGGAGCCAGGTAGTCCTTGAGCCAATGGTGGCTGTCATAAGGGTCCAGTCTCCAGGGGGGTGGGGGGACCACTGCATTCATTTGCGGGGTGCAGTGTGAAATGAGCAGGCAGGGCTTGTTCTCTGAAAAGTATTAAGAATCTCGACAGTGACCGTAGAGTTTAAACCAAGCCCAGGGTCCTCCTGAACGTGGGGCACCATGTGACAGAACAGGCCTCACAGCCACGCAGCTGGGAGTGGGCTGCCTGAGGATGCGCACCGTGCTCCGTGCGGAGTGCTGCAGAGCCCAGCAGGTGGACTCTAGAACATTCCCCGTCCCTGGAGTTGGGGACTTGAAGGCACATCCTCGAAGCCCGCACGGATGAACAAATTCAGTATTTTTTTTTTTTTGCATTTTTTTGCTTTTTGTTTCTTAAGAAAGCCAAGGACAAATATATTAACATCCATTTTGAGTCAATACTTTTAAAAATGACTGGGCGTCTTAGTCCTGCTGGAATTGATTGCTTTTGTGGTGGGAAGTAGGGGTGACCTGGATGTTGCCCCTCGGTTGATAACCACGTGTCCTGTCATCTTTTACTGCTTGCCTGGGCGTCTCCCTTCCCACCTAAGTGCCGTCTGGGTCAAGTGCTAGATTCCCGTCCACACACGCGTGGCAGGAAGTGGTGGCGGCAAGACGCCAGGGCAGTGGAAGCCACGTCTCACATTCATGAAGAGTCAGAAAAGGGGTGTTTCAGACTGTTTAGTGGCCGTTAACCCCTCCAAAATACAAGATGTCTAACAGAGCTAAGCCTGAAGGTAGACGAGGACTTTCCTTACAGAGGGATGTTGGGTAAAAGGTGAGCCTCACCAGCCCACAAGGGTCTTTAGGATGCTCCTGTAGGACTCCTTGGAGAGTTTCACCCTTCTCTACCTCCCACGTTGAGTCAAGTCCAACTTTCGACACAAATGATGACGCCGTTCTCCCCCACACCCCGATGCTGAGCTGCTTGCCCAGTGCACCTGTTTCATTCACCTGTGCAGCAGTGTTCTAGGTCTTTCTGCTTCTATCCTTTTCCAATAAGTCAGAGCTGTGTTTTTTTTTTTTTTTTTTTTTGACAGGCAGAGTGGACAGTGAGAGAGAGACAGAGAGAAAGGTCTTCCTTTGCCGTTGGTTCACCCTCCAATGGCCGCCGTGGCCGGCGCGCTGCGGCTGGCGCACCACGCTGATCCGATGGCAGGAGCCAGGAGCCAGGTGCTTTTCCTGGTCTCCCATGGGGTGCAGGACTCAAGCACCTGGGCCATCCTCCACTGCACTCCCTGGCCACAGCAGAGGGCTGGCCTGGAAGAGGGGCAACCGGGACAGAATCCGGCGCCCCGACCGGCACTAGAACCCGGTGTGCCGGCGCCGCAAGGCGGAGGATTAGCCTAGTGAGCCGCGGCGCCGGCCTTAGAGCTGTGTTTTAAAGGTACAAACCAGGGGCCGGCATTGTGGCACACAATGAGTTAAGCCACTGCCTGCAGTGCTGGCATCCCATCTGAGCACTGGTTCGAGTCCCGGCTGCTTCACTTCTCAGCCAGTTCGCTGCTTATGTGTCTGGGAAAATGGCAGAAGATGCCTTGAATGCTTGGGTCTCTGTCACCCATGCTCCTGGCCTTGGCTTGGCCCAGCTCCAGCCATTGCAGCCATCTGGAAGGTAAATCAGCTGATGGGAGATCTCTCTCTCTCTCTTTCTGCCTTTCAAATAAATAAATCTTTTAAAGAATGTGCAGATGAGTAGCCATTACTCTCATTGGCCCTGGAATGAAATCCAAACTCCTGATGAGTTGTGAACAGAACTCCTGGGTACAGTTGAGCAGTTTGCGTCTTGCTCATATGCATGGCCAAGGTGGCCAAGGGGCTGATAGCCAACCTGATCCTGGCCCTGTCTCCTGCCTTGGGGTGACCTCTGCTTCCAGGAAGCGGTTGCCTTTCTCTCATTTGTTGAAAGTGATCTGATAGCAAGGTTCTAGTGGCCCAGCTTCATCTCTCTTGGATTTCAGCTCTCACTGTTCTGTCCCTGGTCCCTGGAGCTCCCACCAGGTAGGCTTCCTTCTTTGTGTGAACAGCATGTTGCCACCGCTGGGTTGCTGCAGCCATGGCCTCTTTATCTCAAGCACCCTTGCGATAGCTTCTCACATAGCTTACTCATCCTTGGCTCAGCTCAGAGAGGTCATTCTTGACCACCATAATAAAGTGACTTTCCTATTTGATTTGCACACTTCTCTAGCAACTCCATGAATAGTTACCAAATGCCTCCTGTCTACTGGGCATCCCTGCCCTTGGGGAGGTGACTTTCTCCTGGTGAGGATCAAACAATGGATAACGATGGCTAATTTTGTGGGTCAACATGGCCAGCTACGGTGCCCAGCTACTTGGTGAAATGTCAATCTAGACATTGCTAAGAGGATATTTTTTAGATGTGATTAACACTTAAGGCTTGAAGCACAGCAGATTACC